GTGTGACTGGTCATTTTCCAAGAGTAACAATGTGCGATTTTACGGTAAGCATTCTAATGCTTATTCTTTGGTAGAAAATGAGATTATTCACTCGCTTTAGGTTCGCGTTCTTGGTGCATTGCATCGTTGGACTGTTCAGTGTGTGCTGATGATCAATATGTTCACTGAGAAAATTTACGTATTCTTGTGGTAAGAGAGTAACCAGAAACATGTTGAGATTTCAATAAAGTTTTCCTTTTCAGGTTCTGGTTTATACTTGTTGGTGTGCTTTCGGTAATCTCACTCGTTTACTGGTTGGTCGCCCTAGCTGGCAAAAACTTCCAGCGCGGTTTCGTGACCAAGTAGGTTTCTATTCACACAGCTGGCTAAAGCATAAAATTGGTAAAATCTTCTGTGACAGATATCTGCGATGCATGGGTGAGATTAGCGAGCCGCCAACACGAATGGAAGAGGAAAAAGTGGGCGGATTTGTCCGCAATTACCTCACGTCCGACGGTGTTTTCCTTCTCCGACTCATACAAGTAAGCAATTGGTGTAGACTATAGATAGCAGAAAATCCCTGTGGTGCCTACGTTTGCTGACAACATTTGCGCGTAAACGAATTGCCAAGGGCGCAACAACTTGGGAGTTTGCGTTTTGCGGGCATTTTGCGCGCGCGAGTCGCAAGCAAAGTCTGCTCACGTGCAAATGGCAGGAAATGTCGGTACTGCCTGGAAGCTGTGATTGTCGTCGGTCTGCAAGGCTATATACCTGGGACAGACTGGCACACCGATAAAATTTTTGTCTTTTCCAGACCAATGGTGGTGACATGCTAGCAGGAGAGATCATCTCTGCCATGTACCGTCAATACAACGAACGCAGAAAGGCCCCAATGTCCGAAGACTCGTTCGGCGACTCTCCCGATACCACCGCCACTTTGCCACGGTAGATTCCTGGATCTACCATTTCTTTTTTCGCTAGGTGAAGCCCTGTAGCGAGTAAATTCGTCCAACGAGCTTCAAAATTATCTCGTGATCGTGTCTTTTCAGTACATGTATAAGCTCTTTGCATCATATGCGATTCATCACTGCGCCACATTCCTGTGTTCACGAGACAACAAATTCTTGTGTTATATTATTGTGATATGTGTATCCTCACCGAAGATTCATTCGCTACATAGATTTATAGAATAAATGCCATGCCCATTATCTAGTGTTGACAACGTGAATATTTTCTCAGTACTATTAGTATAATGGAAGAGGGTGTTTCTCATCCATAATTTTGTACAGAAACAAGAATATGAGAATAGACTTATAGAAATAAGCCAATATACCTCTTTTGAATATAGAAACAGCAACCCAAGCAAGTCAACCCAACAGCAAACAGGAAACAACTCACCATGAAAAGCGGTGGATACGAAAATTATCTTCTTTTTCCCCTTTTTGGGATGGAAGTACGCTCCATGTTATAATCATTTCAGGTCTCAACAAAAACAAGCCCAAGCCTTGCCGTATTCCCAGCTGCCGGAGCTTTCGGCAGAGATTTCGATCAATACCTGATGCATTTACCTGGCCGAGAACTAGGTCAGCTAGCCATGTACCCACTGAAATGCACGTAACAGCGAGGCGCCAGCTCGGCGATATTTTGGCGTTATCACACCTTCGGCAGTTTGGACGGTTTCCCATGAAGTAATTCCAACTTTAAGTTTTTAGCTTTGGGAAAGGCTACCAGAGCGCTTTTAGTTTCATGTCTGATGTATAATATTAATATTGCTCTATATTCGAAAGGCTCCCTCTTGCTTTTCCGTAGTCTGCAGCAGACTGCTGCAGACTGCTGCCGACTGCAGCTGACTGCAGGGCCGAAGCGCGTTCACGTAAAGAAAAAACGACTTTTTTACGACCCATACAACGTGAATGACGCTCAGAAATATCAGAGGTTCCTTTCCTCCCCCTTCAAATTTTTCTTTTTTTTTTC